GGGGGACGAGCGCGACGGGGGGCATCGAGGGGGCCCAGCCGCCGCCGCCACCTCCTCGGCGCTGCCCGCCGCTCCTGGGGGCAGCGTGTTCCCGGCTGGCGGCGGGCCCCTGCTTACGGGCGGCGCGGCGGTGCACATCTCCGCTGTCGGAGCCGCCAAGGCCACCCTCTACTGCCGCGTCTTCCTGCTCGACGGAACCGAAGTGAGCGTAGACCTGCCGGTGAGTGACGGGGTGCGTCCGGGCCATGGGTACCCTGCACGCCTTGGGGCAGCTCCCCATGTCCCGGTGCTTTCCTCTGGGACGCCTCCGGGCACCTCTCCGGAGTTCCCCTCCCCCATCTTTTGCCAGCCCTCCCCAGCCTGGAACCCTTCAGGATCGCCCGCCCTGGTCTCCTATGGGACAGGGCTTTGGCACCTTGCACCGCTACGTTGGGTCTTTTCTGGAACCCACCTAGTTGGGGGGGGGCTTCACCGTTTCCCCACCGCACACTGTCCCCATGTCCCGCGTCCCCGCCCCTTGGCGCAGGTGGCGGGTATTCCCTGCCAGTGTTGGCCTTTCGCCCACCAGCTTCCGGGGGGGGTCCCCCGACGCTGGATTACTGAGTAGAGATTTTAAAAGCGTGCAGGGTTGCCCCGTGGTATCCCGCACCTGGTACCAGGCCTTGGTGAGCCTCTGGAGTGAAGCCATGCCTGCTGCCCAGCAGGTGCCCCAAGTTTGGGAAGAGGGTTGGGGAATAATTCCCCCTTTCCGCTGATATCCTCAGGATGGCCTCACTTCCATCCCAAAGAGCCCCTCTAGCTCAACCTCGCAGAGGGTGGAGCGGCTTGGGAGCCAACTCTAAGACCAGGTCAACTTGGCTGGGGCAGAGACCTTGGTGTGTTGGGAGTTGGCCCCGCGCCCTCCGGCCTGGCTCACCAGACTCGCCCCCACTCGGGGCAGTATGCGTGGGGCCTGGAGGGCACTTGGGGGCGGCGGCGCCCAGCCAGACACCTACAGGTGGTTGAACCAGGCCCGGCTCCAGCCCCAAGTTAGGCCAGCGCTGGTGTCTCCAGCAGGGCGGCAAAGACCCTTTCTGGCCTAAGGGACCGGAGAGAACCAATCAAGCCCATGCCTTAACTGTGCACCCGGCGCTGCGGCAGACGGTGCCTTCGGGAATCTTCGGGCATGATTGAGGGCACCGCAGTAACTGAGCTCTGGATGAGTTACAGATAGCCCAGGGGGCTTAAGGGGTTGGGATAACAAACTACAACTTGCAAAAGAAAGCGTTTAGGCCTTCCCAGGTGGCAAGAATTCTTTGGATTTGAGAAAACTGTTAACCTTTAAGGGTATTACATGGGAAAAATCAGAGCCTATCTGGCCTGGGCTCTAAGGCTTCCTTGTGTGGGTTTAATTAGAAACAGTTTGAATTTATGGCAGTTTCATTTTTGTGATTCTTTGTGGCCTCAAAACGGGAGACTGTGTTGTGGTGAAAATATCCTTTTCATAGAAAAGGTGCCAACATTTCCTGGACTGAGAGCTGTTGTCTTTTAAAAGGCATTAATGTTACTCTTCCCCCAAGAATGAGGCTTTTCAGCTCTGGGAGAGGCAGCCTGAGAGCCGGCAGCAGAGTTGAGGTGAGCAGGCTGCCTCCGAGTGGGCAGCTAGGGTTGGGAGAGGATGTGGCGCAGTTTGCATCTGTCAAAGGAATGCCATCCTCCAGGAACTTTGTTAGTGCTCCTTGCTGGTGGTTTTCTTGTCTGTTCCCCAGGGATAATTGGTTTATAAAAATGTATCCTATTGTCAGGGTTGTGCGACAGGCTTAAGTGCTGTTTCTGAGATGAAAAATGCAAGCCGGGTAAAGTGCTTGTGTGCTAAAGAGATTCAAACAGGTATACAGATTAACAAGTTGGGGTGCCGGTTTAATTGGTGGAGCCATGGGGGAGGGGAACTAACACTGCCATCCTAAAAAGTTCCTTCCCTTTTTGTAAAAGGACAGAAGAATTCTTCCATCTCAGGTTTCCTTCCAATGCCAGACTTCTTGATGCCTTTAGATATGATTTACTGAACCCCGAATTTTACTTATATACACAGGCATATGACCATACACCATGTCCAAAGACAAATAAAAAGCAAAGACTGGCTTTGTCATGTGAGCTCTCAGGGAGGAATGATGTAGAAAAATTACCCGTTGAGTACAGCTCATTGATTTAAAGATTTATTAAATATTAGAACTGCATCACTCAATCTCCTCCACAGATCTTCCCAGATCTTAGTGTTAGTTCCTGTAATTAATTCTCCCAGTTAGGAGGTTTGGCACCAGGTGGCTGGCTCCCCTGTGAATTTGTAGTATTTGTGGTGGTCCTCAGACCCATTCCACTGAGAGTCTTTTTATACTGTCCTCTTAGGCTTGTGACCCCACTTGTCCTTACTCTATAGATTTTTTTTTTTTTTTCTGCTTCCTGGTTCTGGCCTTGCCTGATTTCTTGTCACACCGATAGGATTTACCTTTGACTTCTGTACCCCTAAGCTTCTCTGTCTTGAACCACTTCCATAGAGATCCAGGGACTTGGCCAGGCTGACTGTGGCTCCTTTGTAATTAAAACCCACTGGTGGCCCTAGTTTCAGGAATTCTTTTGCTCAAAATACAAAAGTGGTAATGTGTTGTCATAAAGCCTTTTATTAACCCTGGTCAGTACAGATGCTTGTGTTCTAAAGTGACCTCAAACATAGTAACACCCTCAGTATGACCGGGCTGTGGCACCTCAGCACGGTTACTCATCATTTATGGGGTATCTTGAATGTAGTAAGCTCTGAGCTATGCACACAAAGGTGAATGAGATATGGCCTGGAGGCTTTGGGGACATACATTTGGAAAGATGTGTATTTTTATTCTGAGTGATACCAATATGAGAGATAAACTCAGGTGGGATGTCCCCAGATGGATGGTGTCGGGAGTTGAGGACTTCCTGCAATTTTTGATGCATGAAATGATAAGCTCTCAATCCACTGTCCCTTGGCAAAGCCATGGTCCAACTGTCATATAAGAAAGGAAGAAGCCACTGTCATTCTCTTCAGAGAATCCCCTCCAACAGACTTGGAGTTAGTTGGTCTGGTGGTAAGTTGGATCTGCTAGCACTCCTCGGTGTTCTGAACCCTCCCTGTGGCACCCAGTGCTGTGGATAAAACACTAATGAAAACATCTTTTTAAACCCACCCATAACATACAGTCCATAGTGGGCTTGCTGTGCAAACCCAGATCCCAGGTGGCACCCAGAATGCCACCATGAGCCGCTCTTAAGAAAACTCAGTCCTGTTATGGAGGGTACCTCCCTTCTGTTCATCCAGCCATGCACAGCCCTCAGGTGTGGTCCAGTCAGAGTAAGGCAGGCGGAGGGAAGCAGGCACTTTCCTTGTATGAATGTGGCTACAGATCCCACTGGTTGTACTTGGCAGCAGCACCCACTGTTGACTCCTATTAGCTCTCTGTTGACTAAATCCCTGGCATCACTTGTGCTTGGGTGGCTGCTGCTCAGCCCCGCCTCTGTTGCCTGCGTGTGCGCGTGCTTTCTTCCAGCAGTTACGAGTGCAAAGCTACTGGGACAAGTGGATTGCTGGTTAGCACTCAGTCCACCATGCCTTGCGGGGGATGACCGGTTGGCCAGTGTGGCATCTGGTGCAGTTGCTCTCTATGTGGAGCTGGGCCTTGACTCATTTGGGGTACTGTGCAAACATGGAGCATTCCAGTGTTATCTACAGCCTGGCTCTACCATGTTGGGCAACTTAGCTCTCTGAGCATCAGTTTTCCTGTCTTTAAAATGGGAGGATGAAATGACGAAAAGAATCATAAATGTCTCAGTAAACAGCAAAATGCTGGAGGGTTGCTAGAAAGCTGAAATTTCTAGATTTCTCATTCATTCCTTTTCTTTGGACTATGGAGAGGATTTGAAAAAATTAATTATTAATAATGGACTTTCGAAAAACAAAAGTGAGCTGTACCAGGCAGTGCACTCATTGCTTGGCTCTTGTTAAGTGGAAATTGGAAGCCGGATATGGTATGAGAGATGCCATTGTGATACCATTGGAGGAGAAAAGAGTCCTCTCCATAGGATGGGATCCTCTGGCCTGACAGATCATACATGGTACAGCATAAAGGTCATTTGCCTTATTTTGGAGTTGAAAGCACATACTCACCCAATGTATTTATGGAAAATTGAGACCAGAGGGCATAAAGTGACTTCCTGTTACCCACTCAGTAAAAGAGCGGAATGGGCAGGCCTGGGAAGGTATAGAGGAAGGGAGGTTGGGCAGTAGGATGCATACATTAATACCCCTACTCTTCACATGAGGGAAGGGTGATACATATTCCTGGCATTTGGAAGTAAGTCAGATTTTCTCAATCAGTGTGAAAGTGGCAAGATGATTCTTCAATTCTTCAGCTTCAGTGTGTGTGAAATTTACCTGGGCCTTTTTTTTTTTTTTTTTAAGATGATTTTTAGTGTGTTAATCCAGGCTAGTCTGAAACCCCCAGGCTTGCTGATCTTTCTGCCTCAGCCTCCTGGTGCTGGGGCTACGGGCATGTGCCAAGTGTGGTCAGCTCACCTGGAGTTTTTATCCTTAAAACTTGTAGAGCGTACCTCTACAACTTCTGATTTAGTGGTTCAGGAAGCTGGGTTTTCCACAGGTCCTCCACTGCAGGTGATTCTCATAACTGGCGTTCCTTCACGCCCTCTAATATGCCCTGGCTCTGGACCAGTGACAACTAAAGGTAGCTGCACTGTGCATTAAAACCTGCTGCAGGCGGTGTGTCTGGGGGGCAGTCTTTGACCTGGCAATTGACCTGTGCTTCAGGGAGCCTGTTTTTGCTATAGTGGAGTGGAGGCTGGGTTAGAGGAGGGACTTGATGCCAGGTGTGCTGTGGCAATAGTCCAGGTGAGGGGTGATGAGGGTCTGGTTGGGAGAAGGGGCAAATGGCCAGAGCAGTTCACAGGTTGAGCCAGGTCAGTATGTGGGGGAAGGGCAGGGTGAAGGCAGGGGAGAGCTATGACTGCCCACACCCTCCATTGTGGGAAGAAGTGAGGAAACACACAGGACACTCCTGAGGCTCTGTCTGCCTCAGGGACCTTGCCATATCACGGGCTTTTTTGCTCCTGGGTGCAGATATTGGTGAATGGTGGCCTCATGTTTGTCGTACCCTCTGCCAGACCTTAATGGATTCTGAGATGCCTTAGATGTCTGTCCAC